CACAACTTTTCTTCTCATTTTCGACCACAAGTTGCTAGAAGGCAGATGCTATCATTCATCATGGTATCTCAGCACCTGTTTGACGAATGACCCAATAAGGATGACAGATAGCCTTATTACATGTTCCATAGTTGGTATAAGGAGAAATTCAAAGAAAGTGGAAGCTAACGATTATATGGTTCTTCCAACATTTCACGTTTCCAGCTAACATTCTACCAAAGCCATATATTTTGGGAAACACTTGCATGCTTGCCTCTACCCCCATTCTCAGTTACATAGATCAGCGCAGTCTGATAGGATGGTCTCAGATCCTAGATATGCTCTATATCTGCACCATCCCACATGTTGAGCACTTGGCAAGAGAGACTGAGAACTAAATTTTTTATTTTACTTTATTTTAAATTTAAATAATCACATGTAGCTGGTAGCTAACATATTGTATAGTGCATGTCTGGATCATTTGCAAATCATCAAGTGGCAGAGAACAGAGCAGTGAGAGAAACAGAAAGTGGGAAGCAGTTAGAAATATGCAAAGAACACATGGTGCTGGGATAGGGAACCTGCCTGGTGTGACTGGGACTGTGGAGTTTCCTGGGACTTTCAAGGCCAAAAATGGGACAGTCCCAGGCAAACTAGAACCACTGGTCAACCTACTCAGTGCCTAGAAGGAACTAAAAGTAGATTCCATGCAGGAACTCAAGAAACTGAAGCAGGAAATGCAGCAGGAAAAACACTGAGTTTGGGACAAGGTGAAGAGAAAAACATATGGTGGGCTGGAAGAAGTCATTGTCTTGGAAGCCATACCCTCTTCAGATTTCCATGTATCTACATATCCTAACACCCGGGTTCTAGCATAGAGATCTCAAACAAAGGTATACCTGCTCTTTTTCAAATTCATGTGCTTTATTTTACTCATCTGTCTCTTACTGGGGAAATCAAGACGGCAGCTATTCAACTGTCTTTGGTCTGTCATTTACATTTCCATTCTCATCCCATAATCTGTTAATCTTTCTAGCATCTCAGTGCAAGGCTGAATTAAATTCCCACATTGAATCCCAACATGAAAGGCATTTCTTTGTGAAGCAGCTCAATATGATGTTCTTCTAAATGACATTTAAAATATTCGGCTCAGTAATGGGATGATAAAGAAGGGCACCCGATGTTAGTACACACCGGTAAAAAGAACATTTTTTTATTAGTCAGAAACCAAAAAGATAGAACAAGATAATTAAAAAAGAAAAAGTTTATTCCTGCTAGACTGCCACAAGAGTATTATGACTCAAAATGTAATAGTCACTGAATTCCCGCAGGAATCTAACTTCTTAAAAAGACATCAGACATCAAAGTCTGAGTCATGCCACATTAACCACCAATGGCCAAAGAAAAGTTTGAATGCCACTGGAAAAGTTAAATATTAGACTTTCCCTGAAACATTTAAACTCAGAGAAGTAGGTATTGCAGTTGTCATACCGACTTGTGTGCATTCTTCATAGGTTTCCAGACCGATCTTTGCACCCCCCTTCTGTTGCTATGGTGACCCAAATAAATTCTCTCCCAAGATTCATTTCTTTCAGATGCCAATGCATCAGGTCAAGCAGGCAGGCAGTCTAGCAAATAACGCACTGGCCCTAAACATTCTCACACTCTCTGGGCAGCCACAAAGAGCTTTCCTCTACACATTGCACCCTATTTCAACATTTTCAAAACTATAATTCCATTACATTGAGAAAAAAAATTATTCCAAGCTCTGGGGCGCCTGGGTGGCTCAGTCGTTAAGCATCTGCCCTCAGCTCAGGTCATGATCACAGGGTCCTGGGATCGAGCCCCGCATCAGGCTCCCTGCTCGGCGGGGAGCCTGCTTCTCCCTCTCCCACTCTGCCTGCTTGTGTTCCCTTTCTCGCTGTCTCTCTCTGTCAAATAAACAAACAAACAAACAAACAAACAAATAAATAAATAAATAAATAAATAAATAAAATCTTTAAAAAATTATTCCAAGCTTTGGTACTTCTTTTATTTGTCTAACTAACACGATGAATCCCTGCACAAGGCAAAGCGTAAGAACCTGAACATCAGAAATTCTCCTAACATCCACTTCATCACTCTTATGTTTACCAATAAGACCCGAATGATGGTTCTCAGTAAAATAAAGATAAATGCCAGGACTTTCACCATCTGACCTCCATATAGTACCAGCAGATATGGTATTTAGTACTTAGAATCAGGGACTAGGGAGACTGAGATATTACCCCCAAAAAATTCATGAAAGAAGGCATCTGGCTCATAGAAAATATGCAGACATAATTCTAGGGAAGAAAGCCTTAAAGCCTTTTTGTCATTAGAGATGTTACAGTTTAAAGCCTCTAGTGTTTGAGCATCCTCACTCCCCGCACGTGTTAAATATGTATTGCATACAGTGCAAATATTTCTCAAGATAGAGCAGCCTACCAAGAAGCATTTCACAGTGACAGTATATATGTAACAGGAAGCAAAGAGATGCTACCTACATTCTCTAAAAAACTAAGTCTGTTAATTTTACCCAAAGATGTACATTTTGACCCCAAAACTAATACAAGGTACATAATAAGAAAGGCAGAAATAAGGGTTGGGCTTCTACTCTAGGGCTGCTAATACATTATTAACACTTTCCCTATGCCCCTTACTAAGGCCTCACCACAACCCTATAAAAGTTGTTACCCCCACTTTGGGGACAGAGGGATAAATTAACTTGTCAAAAGTCACACAGCCAAGAACTTGTTTAGAAGTTTAAATCTTCGCTCAAGTGCCTGGGCTTGTTACCCTCATGCTGTACTGTCCCTGAGGGTCCCCAGTGCACTTGGATGAATCAGACCTTGACTAGAGACCTTCTACCTTCAAATGTCTCCAGACCACTATTTATCCTCCACCTCTAAACATACATGTGCTCACTCACTCTTTCTCTTTGCCCCTTCTGTCCCTCTCCTTTTCCCAGTGCTCCGAGACCAGAGTATCATTGCCCCGCTGTTTCCTGGGGAGCTTAGCACTGCTAGAACAGGGCATTACTCCTCTACCAACTTTGCATTCCAGGGCAAAAAGGAAACTCTCAGGAGCCAGAGACTACAGGCCAGAGGAAGCTTTCACTGAGCCAGAGGTTACCACTGTCTTGGAAGACAGAGGTGGGAGGAGACCAGGAAGATAAAAAGCAAGCATGTACTTTCCATTTCTATGTCATGGTTTTCCCCCCAAGCAGAAAAAAAAGGGGGGATTGGCTGCCCCCACACTTGTACACCAAGACTCTTGCCAGACTATGAGGAACGGATGATTCAACCAGAGGGCTGGATACACCAGAACGGAAAGCTTTGAGCAAATAACAAGTGCAATGAGGCTAGAGATACAAAGTGAAAGAATGGGATGAACAGGAGAGAGGGAGCAGGCCAATACATAACTGGGCCCTTTTGTGCCCACCCCACACAGGCTCTAAGCCCCCATGGTGAACTCATCAGGGCCTGCTGTCCCCTCCTGCTCAGCCAGCTCCTTAGCACTTGCCTCTGTCCTTCTTCTCCACTACAGGTTTAAACCGAGGTTGGTATTTTGAGGGTCAGCATGGGTATTTTTCAGTGACTTCTGAATACTATTAACCTTTTCTTATAAACCAGTGTCTTTCTCTTATTAGGAACTTAAAACTATATATGCTGGAGATTCTTTAGTCTTGAAATGCCAGTTGGATTTCTTAATGGCCATCCAGGCAAACGGGACTAACATGAAGAAACCTGCCTTAAAGGAAGCTAAATTTGGAGGGGCATACATCTACTCTATATATCAAGGGATACCTGTTTTTGACATCAGACATCAAAGGAGTTATGAACATTCATATTCCTCTCCAAGGGACAGCTAGGAATCTTATAAGCAGAGTCCTAGCATGACTCACTTGTTAGTGTTTGCTGCCCGGGGCACAAAATGTCTCATCAACAAGACTTGGGGTTTTGGATAACTGCCTCTTAAGTGGATTCAGCTCTTAACCTGGATTGCATATTTTCCTCCTTCATTACATATGATTTAATTTCTCAAGAATTAAATTATTTTTAAAGTTCTTCTAAATTAAATGAAGAGTAAATAAAAAGATCTCTGACAAAAAAAAACCTGAGTAATTTTATTAGGAATATGATAAATGTGATAGGTTGCAGTAGCCTGAAAATCCCATTATATGCAATTAAGGAGCTACATTAATGTAATTGTAGACTTCCTAGCATTTTAGCCCAGCACATACAGTATTTACAGATAATTGCATAGTAAGGGGGAAAATGCAAGCTGTGAATCTAGCATGCACGTGACTTATGTTGTCAAATTAAAACCTGGTTGGGTTTCTCCTTGAGTTATTATCTCTAAAAAGCTTAATTTTTATCTTTTCAAGATGGGAAAATGCACAGGCATGCAAATGAATTGTTTCCTGTTAAAAACCATACAAAGTGCCGTGAAATTACAGGCACTATTATAATAAAGTAATAGTCATTTGGATAATACTAACTCCAAATTTGTAACTCTTTGACTAGAACTTCACCGAACAAAGAATTCTAAGGCAAATTAATATAGTAAACAGTATGCAAGGATAGGTAACTTACTTTTATGCTTATGAGACCTCCTATGTGCCCATTGTTGGCATAAAAATGATGCTAAAGTTACAAAAGAGCTAATGAGTGACAGGAAAATACTACGGAAAAAGTGCTCACCTAGGCTGGAAGAAATCAGAGTTCCTGTTCTACTTTGTTGGCAATAAATTACATAATCCTGAAAAAAATTAAACACTCTACATCTCAGTTTCTTCAATTATAAAACTCAATGGTTGAAATAGATAAGCCACAAAAGTCTCCTCAGCCTAAAAATTAAGATGTTATCTAACTGTTGAAGCAGGTCCCGGTAAGATGAATACTTTTCAGCTATCAGGTTGAATTATTAATCTCGATTTGAAAACAGTGCTACATGTATTTTTAAAGAGCTAAACTTTTCATTAATTTAAGTTCACCTACCTTCAGATATAATAGGGGAGTAACATGAACCAGACACTTCTGAGGAGTCAGGAACTGTAATACCCACTTCCATGTATACTGCGTATCCTCTGTGGGGAAAGAAAAGTACAAAATTTAGTTTGTGCAGTGCTAATTTCACATTAAAAGAGGTTATAATCATTGTAAACTCATTTAACTTAAATATGTGCCTAAGACCATGGTAATGATCACAACGGTCATCATCCTAAGCTTCTGTCGAGTACTGGGTATAGCACTGAGTGCGATGGGCCCTTAATCCTCCAAAACACCTTACACAGAGAAGGTACGATGGTCATCTCCATTCTACAGATGCACAAAGTAAGCCTTGGAGAGGCTGGGCAACTTGCCAGAGGCCACCCAGCCAGCATACGCAGGAGCCAGGACTTGAACTCAGGTCAGACACTAAATCTTAAAGCTATGCACAAACCAGTTTGCACATGGACTCAAGAATGAAGTTATTCCCCTCTTCCCACTGCCCTCTAATCATTAAGGAGGTCAGAGGGAAGTGGATATACAATAAACACCCTCTATCTAATTTCCCCTGCCAAATTTATGAAGAATAAGTAACCCATCCAGCGTCTTCCCCACTCCTGCTTCTGTATGATAGAAAACAAATATTCTTTCTAAAGGGCTTGGATGGAAGCTATCAACAGGAATGAAATCTCAAATGATAGCTGCCCAGAACCACACAGCAATACATTATCACTCATATAGTTCATGGAACCCTCATTCATTTTCTTTAACATCAAGTTTAACTTTGCAGGAGGCGAGCTATGTTATAAAACTGCAAAAAAAAAAAAAAAGTCCGAAAATGTTGATATGATTGTCTATCTAGCAGAAGGGAGACAATTTGCAGTGAAATAATTGGTACATTTTCCCACTGCATTATGTTTCTCAAAACATGTTACTGTGGGAGGAGATTAGCTTCCCCTTTCTTCAGGAAGAAAATGACTTGTCTCCTATACTGAATAGAACTGTCATTCTGAGAGCTGACAAATGCTAACAACCTTTGGAGGTGCAGTGTGCCAGCATTTAAAAAACAAATAAAATAAAATGAAGAATCCAGTAACCAAAGAAAGAAAGGTCATGAAAGAAAATAATAGGGTAGGACCCTTAAACATTAAAGTATTGGAAATCTGCTTAATGCTAGAAATAACAGTCATACACTAAAATGAAAGGAAATAGAAATAAATCATCCTAAATTAAAATCACTTCAATTAGTTTATATTTTTATGTTAGGTTCTGTAGCACCAAATTAATGGATTCTATTCTGTTTTGCTAAAAATATAGTTGCATTAGGAAGACAATTAATAGATCTGGCCACAGATGTTCCAAATAGTAATGATCAGAGCCAGAGTTGGGATCATCAGAGCTGAGGTAGCACTGTTCCATCATGTCCTTCCTGCACCCTTGGTCCCATGATCCTGATGGGATTAGAATGAGATCAGTGACAGAGAAAAACTGACATGAGACCGTAAGATGATGCTAGATGCATAAGGGGTCCTGAGAGGCCATTATAACAGAGCTGACTGAGATTCTGGCAGATGATGCAATCAAAAGGAGCTTCCGGTCAATCTTGGTCTCCCTTTTTCCTGTCAGAAAAGGCTCTCAAATAATGACATTTTTATGGCAGTATTTTCTTTTTTCTGTTTGTTATTTCCATCAGATAAAAATCTATAACTGACAAAACTCAGATTTTTGTCTGTCAAGATAAAGTGCTTATATTCTTGTTACCCTAAGTAAATTCTCAAATACTTAATCATCATAAAATCGGGGGATGCTGCTAAAAACCAAAGTGTACCTTAAAGAAGGGATCTTTAAACAATGTTAAGCACTGTTCTGTACTTCATGAACATGTAGATATTAGAGTTGGAAGGGTCTTTAGCAGATATCCCAAAGGTCTGCAAAAGAAATGCAGTTCTTCACAAATAACCCGTAACAGTAATACATGATTATTATCTATAGAGCACTTAATATATGCCATGCACTGCACTAAGTACTTGACATATATGAAGTTATTTGCCCTTCACAGTTCTGTGAAATGTACTATGATCATCTTTACTTTGAAGAAAAAGAAACAGAGGATTAGAGAATCTGAATATTTACTCAAGGTGCCACTGATAAGTGGTCAAGTTTAGCTTTGGTAATTTTCTATTGGAAGTTAGTCATTGTGAATTTTACATTGCTGGATGTTGGATACTTTTATATTCTTTTCTTGAGCTGTATTCTGGAATGTTGTAAAGTTACTTGGGAAGAATTTAATTCTTTCAGGTCTTGGTTTTAAGCTTTGCTAGGCAGGACCAGAGCAGTGTTTTAGTGAAGGGCTAAGTAATCTCCACAACTAAGGCAAAATTTTTCAGAATACACTACCCGATGCCCCATGAATTATGAGGAATAGGAACTTGTCCCAGGCTTGTGTGAGCTCCTAGTATTATCTCTCTAAACCTTGCAGGTGGTTCCCTCCCTATATCCTTAGTAGTTTCCTCTCCTTAATGAGCTGGTTATCATTCAGCCCAAGACTCCAGAGGGACACTCCAGATTTCTGGAGCTCTCTCTCTATGGCTTTCTTCTCTGTAACACTCTATCCTATAAATTCTGGCCCTGGCCTCCTAAGAATCTTAGCTCTGTCATCTCAACTCAGGGGAACTGCCCTAATCTAACTGGGTTCCCCTTGCCTACAACTTAGCCTGGAAACTCTCTAGGCAGTGAGCAAGTGCAATTACCGGACTCACCTTATTTGTTTCCCATATCTCAAGGATCAATGTCCTTCATGACATGATGTCCAATGTCTTAAAAGCTGTCCAATGTCACATATGTTGCCTGACTTTTTTTTTAAAAGATTTTATTTATGTATTTGAGAGAGAGCCAGAGAGCAGGAGCGGGGTGAGAGAGCACAAGCAGGGTGAAGGGCAGAGGGAGAAGTAGACTCCCCACTGAGCAGAGAGCCCAACGGGGGGCTAGTTCCCAGGACTCTGGGATCACGACCTGAGCCAAAGGCAGATGCTTACCCAACTGAGCCACCCAGGCGCCCCGTTGCCTGACTTTCTAGTCATTTCAGGAAGGAAGGTAAATCTAGTTCCTTTCACTCCATCTTAGACAGAAGCAGATGTTCTCATGCTCAGATTTGAAGCTAAGCACTCAGTTTTCAAAACCTGAGACCATAAATGCTATCCTAATTTTTATGAAGTAGTTCAGACCAGAGAGGTTAAAGAACTAAAGAACATACAAAAAAAAAAAAAAAAACCCACCTATATTTCCTTCCTTTTAATACAATTTTTTTCCTAAAATACCATTATTTATACAGTGGTATTAGAAGGAGTAGAAGAAATAGAGTCAGATCTTCTGTGAGTTAAATATTTTCCACTAAGCTCAAATATCAGATTTTCCTCTGAGGGAATGCTTACATCTTCTGGGAGCACTAGTCCTGGAAGATAATCCATAAAAAAAATTTTTTTTAAATTGCATGTTTATGTTCCTGCTGCGTGGCTCATCCTGTTAAGTGTCCCACTCCTGATTTCAGCTCAGGTCATGATCTCAGGGTTGTGAGATTGAGTCCTGTGGCAGGCTCCACGCTCAGGTGAGAGTCTGCTTGAGATTCTCTCTCTGCCTCTCCCTCTACCCCTCACCCCACTCTCATGCTCACACACGCTCTCTCTCTCTCTAAAACAAATAAATCTTGTTTAAAAATTGCATGTTTATGCTCATGAATTTTAGATAATTATCCATATAGAGTATGAATGAGGTGGGGTTTACTGAAGTCTCTGACAATCAAGGGAAATCTAAGCACTGCAGACCTACATCTCACTTTACCCAACAAATCTGTTCCTTTAAAGAACTATGCCTAAATCACTATACTGTACACCTGAAACTAATATAACAGTGTATGTTAACTATACTGAAATTAAAATAAAAAACTTAATAAAAATTTAAAAATATGTAGAACATTAAAAAACGAGTTGTGCTTAAATCAAATTTGAGTAAATTGAATGATTTCAAAAGCAACAGTGAAGCTTACTATTTAAAACAATAATAATCTCTTTTGTGAATTGAATCAAAGCCCCCATTGTCTTCATGGGAGCCTGCAAAGCCTCATGATTAAAAGTCCAGGTTTAACCCAAAAAACAAATAATCCAGTTAAAAAATGTGCAGAAGACATGAACAGACATTTTTCCAAAGAAGACATACACATGGCTAACAAACACATGAAAGGATGATGCTCAACATCTTTTTATCACCTCACACCAGTCAGAATGGCCAAAATTAACAACACAGGAAACAACAGGTGTTGGCAAGGATGCGGAGAAAGGGGAACCCTCTTACACTGTTGGTGGGGATGCAAACTGGTGCAGCCACTCCAGAAAACAGTATGGAGGTTCCTCAAAAAGTTAAAAATAGAACTACCCTATGACCTAGCAATTGCACTACTAGGTATTTACCCAAAGGATACAAAAGTACTGATTTGAAGGGATACATGCACCCCAATGTTTATAGCAGCATTATCAACAATAGCCAAATTACAGAAAGAGCCCAAATGTCCCTCGACTGATGAATGGATAAAGAAGTGGAATACTACTCAGCCATAAAAGTGAACGAAATCCTTCCATTTGCAATGATGTGGATGGAGCTAGAGAGTATTATATGAAGTGAAATAAGTCAGTCAGAGAAAGACAAATACCATATGATTTCACTCCCATGTGGAATTTAAGAAACAAAACAAATGAACATGGTGCAGGGGAAGAGAGGCAAACCAAGACACAGATATTAACTATAGAGAACAAACGGATGGTTAATGGAGGGGAGGTGGGTGGGGGGATGGGTTAAATGAGTGATAGCTAAGTGGGGGGCACTTGTGATGAGCACTGGGTGTTGTATGTAAGTGATGAATCACTAAATTCTACATCTGAAACTAATATTGCACTGTGTGTTAACTAGCTGGAGTTTAAATAATAACTTGGAAAAATAAAATAAAATAAAGCAAAGCATATCAGAGGGGAGGTAGGTAGGGGCATGGATGAAACAGGTGAAGGGGATTAAAAGTACACTTATCTTGATGAGCACTGAGTAATGTATAGAATTGTTGACTCACTATATTGTATACCTGAAGCTGATATAATACTGTATGTTAACTATACTGGAATTAAAATTTAAAACTTAATAAAAATAAATAAATAAATAAAGGCACAGGTTTAGGAATCAGGCAGGCCTGGGTTTAAATCCCAGCTTCCAAGCTATGCAACCTTGGCCAAGTCATTTAAGTCACCAAAGTCTCAGATTCTGCTATAAAATGAGGATAAGAATACCTACCTCTTGGGTTGTTGGGAGGATTTATAAAATCCCTGTAAAAGTGCTAACCCCCACAAATGTGCTTAGTGAAAGTATGATGCTTAGCACTGAATTAAAGTTAACTATCATTAGTTCTCTTATCTAGAAAAATATAAAATTAATACAATGAAAGAAAATAAGAAATAAGTTATCTCTAGTTAAGTCTGCGTATATGCTGGGTTTTAGTCTAATTTTAAATATATTAAAATACATAAATATATACTAAAGTAAATATACTTAACATATTTAAATACCCAATAATTTCTTAGAAGAGTTTTATAATTAAAATAATTCACCTTGGTATCACTCTTCTTAAATTTTCATTTACTTAATGTCATTCATTAATACTCATGTACCATGGTAGCTAATTCTGCAATGTTCATATTCTTTGGATATTATTAGATACCTTCCTCAACCCACCACACCCCTTTAGTTAACATTTTTATCAACTATAAATATTCATTTCTTTAATTATTTTCATCTTTCTGACATACGTGAATCATATCCTTTAGCACTAAATATTCTCATCACTTTCCACAATTTTTAAAATTCAGATACTTCCCTCAGAACTATAGAAAACCGAAAATTACAACGTCCTTTTCAATCTGCTATTTCTCATTCACACCTAAACATACCTATTTGGACAGCCATATCATACTTCAGATCAAACACTTGTATTAGTCCATAAAAGCAGGTTAGCCTTGAAAGAATTGACCCAGCAACCCTAGACGAGTAAGTATAATTATCATTTTTTATAACTTTTTCTTAAGATCTCTTAATACATCTGTGTTTGAGAATAAATTCTAAGTATATTTAGTATTTTAATTTGATAAATCTGGCAACCCTTAATATGTTTGAAATAGGCATATGCTTGTATATTCACAGTCTAGAAAAGGCTATATGTGAACATAACTGTGTGAGTTGGTAGAATATTTAAAAGCCTGAAGGTTGTCAATGATACAAAATATGAATATTTATGATATTTTAACACATCTTTGTATAATTTCTCTTTCCGTAGTGATTCCAACAAGTTTTAATGCAACACAACACAAATGTAAAATGTCACCAACATATTTAAATACAGCCTCCAAATCAAACACTAAGATGGCAACCAAAGGCAAACTTAGTTTTCATTTCTGAAATAGCTCATCACAAGATGTATCATTATTTTGTGTTATAGACTTTTGTAGCATCTAGCAGACAACAAGAGGTTCACACCAAAGCCAATTTCAATTAATTCAAGATGGAAAATTTTATGTGACACTATCAAACACTTTACCAAAATTGAGATAGATTACATCTACAATTTCACATTACTTTTATCTACTGATCTTGTAGCTCTATCAAAAAAAGCAATCAAGTTTTTCTGGCATGATTTGTTCTTTTTAAATTCCTATTTTATAATGTCCATTATCATTATCCTTATATGTTTCATCAATGCTTGCAAATTTTCTATTAATGCTCATTCTATTCTTTCAATGTAGATTTACCTACTTTTGCTAGATAATTATGTCAGTGTTGTTCATTGTTTTAAAGAACAACAATAATCATTATCATTAAGATAATGCTCAAGAAATTACTCCTCATATTTGGGTTGATAAAAGAATTCAGATCAATTCTACAAATACTTACTGCGCATTTACTAATTGCTTATTACTCTGCCAGGCAATGTAGGGAAGACAGATTAGCAGAAGAAAACTTTCCTCTGGAAGCCACTGATCTCCTTGAGGAGATAAAATAGAGACAAATGGGAATTCTGCGTTTATTGGTACCCAATGTTTTGCAAACTCTAGTAGGTTAAAAAAATCTTATTATTAAAATTCAAGTTTTCATGCCTTATTTCCAGAGGTTCTGATTTAGCATTTGTGTTTTTAACAAGCACCCCCCAGGTGATTCCAGCATAAGCATTTTTTAAACCACAGTTGAGAAAAAATGATATGGACAGTCAAAGTACCAGAGGAGCAGAATAGAGTTCAGCCATTATAGGCAGTATCTTACAAAAAGACTTCCCAACAGAATCAGGACTTTCAGGATATCCAGGCTAACAGAGTTCTTACAATATTATCCATATTAGCAGTGCTAGAGCTGTTTTTGAAATATACTTGATTTACTGATACAACCATGACCTGCTGCTCTTTGGCCAAATCAATTAGGCAATGGAGAAAACATTACAATAACTTGCCCACACAAAAATAAGCATGTATCCCTGTCAAAGGAGCTAAAATAAATTTAACACTGGGAAGCATTTATCTGGGTTGCCTTCACATTATATACATTGGATACATCCCAGAACTTGGGAATTTGTCAATATTTTAGTGACAATCTAGAAAGCAATACTTAGAAAATAATTTCAGAGCCACCAGGAGATTTTTACCCCATGAGTAAGCCTTGTAATGCTTCTGGGAAAGCCTGTAGTGTTCAATATGATTGCTCTAGATTCATGAGGTATCATATAAAATTATTATTTGAGCCTGTATAACTAACTGCCTTTCTCCAAATATCTCAGACCGATCTACTGTACTATTTCATTCTTTGTGTTATATATGACACTAGCATAGCAGTCAGGGTCCAAAGAGAAAAACAGGATTTAAAACAGAGGGAATTTAACAGAGGGGATTTTGTTAAACAGATGATGGAAGAGATGAATGACCAAAGGGAACAGTGAAGCAACTGAGAGATTAGCAGCACAGGCAGTCTCTTCCTCCAAACCCAGTAGAAGAGAGGTGTTTGTTCCCAGAGCCCAGGGGCAGGGTCACCTAACTAAAGCCAGAACAATGAGGCTAGTCTGGACTGACTAGAATAGTGGAGAAGCAGAGAGGGGTGGAGAAATACCCTGCTTTCTCCCTCCCTCCCACCCTCCAATCTCCTGCCAAGCGCCCTCCCACACCTCAACACAGCAAAATGTCAGCTGACAGGTGACCTTTGGAAACACAGTCAGGCCCCCTGCTCCTCAGAATAGAGCAGGAGAAGTATAAGAGAGTGGTTTGAGAGCAAATAAGCCAAGATCTAGGAAAGGTGGCGGTGATGGTGGTGGTAGTTATTATTATTTTGTAGTATCCCTTTAAAACAGAGAAATTGAGTTTGCACAAGGAATTTGAAATTTTTATAGAATCTCAACTCAGTGCTTCACTTATTCAACAATGCATGCTGCCTCTCAATACATTGCATTTTATTCTTTTATTCTTTATCACTCTAGTTTGCTATGATTTAAAATTCAGTGCTTGAATAAGCTTCATATTCTTTTTAAAATATTACTAAATGCAAATCCTTTCTTACTCATCTCTCTTACCTATACATCAGGAGATATTATTTCATTCCTGATACATTTTTAATTGCCCAGACATCTTGACTCCATATTTTTTTTAAATGTACATTTCTAAAGAACAATCTGGTATTAAAACCATTTAGTTACCATAATTTTGTTCTCACTGCATTCATTAATGGAATTTTTGTATCTAGAAATTTGTACTCCCCATGCGGAAGGTCATAGATTAATCTCTTTAGCCCATGTATCTAAAAAGAAGAATGTGCTCAGAACAAAGTTTCCTATCTTCCCTCCCCCACCCAGAAAAATCGATCATATTAACTAAGCTCGGCATGGAGCTTTACGTTTAGCAAAGTGGTTTGCATACCGTGTGGGTGTGTGTGGGTGTGTGGGGGTGTGGGTGGGTGTGGGTGTGTGGGTGTCAACAGAATGGCTTCAAGGATGAGAAACAAAGAAATGCAATTATAGGATCTGGTGTTCCCTTCCATGTATTTATGCATATATATCTATGCAACATATAAATGATTTAACAGTTATATAATCATGTCCTCGGAACATATAATTCTCTTTGCCACAGTTATCCAAAATCCACAGATTATATTTCAGTTGATCCTCACTTTTCCTTATTAAGGAACTTCTAGTCTTATCAGGTCAGTCTCCTCACTGGCCACTCAACACCTCCATGTTCAATTTGGGCTCCATGACTTTTTAGTCTGTGCTACCCCACACTCCACTATCCATGACTTCTCTGTTCTCCCATGCGCTAAGTCCCATCTCCTTCAGGTAATTTACCGTAATGGGCCAGCTCAAAGGATCCCTCTTCCTTCTCGGGAGCTCCTATTAAACAAATGTCTATGGATTAAATGTGTTTTCATTACTTCATATATGTGCTTTGTATCCTTTAAAAGTCCCTTAAATTCTTGAGAACAGGACCTGTAGCTTAAATCCTACAATACTGTTAAGTAAACAGCAAGGACTCAAAACATACTGAATACCACTGAAGTTCCATAATCAGTCCTGGAGAGGGGTTTCTGAAGTCACCATAAGATGTTGGAGAAAAGGCAAAAAGGAATGGTGTTATAGTGCGAACATAGAAGATCAGATGAGAGACCAGGGACCTAGAAGGAAGCAGAAATAAATCGATTTTGGGTAAGCGGGAGTAGATCTCCTTTAAAGAAACTTAGATGTTTGGGGAAAGTTCCCAAGACATTTCTCCCCGCTTTGGGAAAAAAAAAAAATCATTTTTATCTTCACTGATTAAATTTCTTTTGTTTTAGCCGGCAATATATTTTTGCTGCCTCTCGCATTTTGAAAAATAACTCTGAGGAATTTCATCTCATAGTCACTCTTGATTATCTGTCTTCTACCCTGTCTTAAATCAGTTTCATCAGGAGGATCAAATCTGAAGTCCATCTGTAGCTCTGATTAGGCGTTCACTAAATGTGATTTCAAGACCCAAGTCTCACGATATCATCCTTCTTAGAGCCTCCTGAAGGTCAACCAGGATTACACCAGCCTGCAATTAACCAAGGTGGCTTCCCCTCAGGGAGCCCATCCCCCACCTACCTGGCTCTTATCATTCTGCCCTATCTCATTTAAACCTCTCCACACCAATATGTCTTCAACTTAAAAATCAATTTTCTCCCTGATTCAGTTCCTTTTTCACAGTTGCTTCTTCATTTAATCTTCAGGGTCATCTCAATCCCCATAAATCTAAACACAGCAATCAAATGTCTGGTCTCTTTAACATGTCTCGCCACAGGTGGGGCACAAATCCCCCCTCCTGATGGATTGGGCAATTTAAAAGAAAGATGGTGAACACGGGATATTATATCTCCAGAGCAAAGGCCCTTCCATCGGAAACCTGGGGCTGAAGGGGAAGCTTTTGTTTTTGTTATTGAAAGGGTTTATGCTTTAATCTCTGCTTTAAGAATTTTTTTTCCTTGAAAAAAACCATCTTAACCATTTATGAATGAGATCTGAAAATCCAGGTTTTCAAAACCCACTGCAAGTGTTTTGTTTACTAAAATGAGAAGACTCGTACTACACCTGAAGTGGGCTCCGTCTCCCCCTTGCCCATACAGTCAGCTACTGCACCACTTGAAATGCCTGCAGTAGGCTTCAGGCTAGGGTTCTCTGTTTCTGTGCTCACGTGTTTTTTACTACACAAATACTTAGTGAGCACTTATGATCAACAAGGCACTGAGTTAGGTGCTACAGGGCCAAATAGGATTAATATGACATAGCCCCTGTTCTCAGTGACACAGATGTGACAGGCATGGATATAAACAGCTATACAGAAAGACAGTATGTGGCAAGTAGTAGACTTTATTTATTGATTCAACAAGCCTTTACTGAGTGCTTTCTCTGCCAGGCACTGAGGATACAGCAGAGAGAAAAACAGGCACCCCTCCTCCCCTAGAGGAGTTTCCACTCGTGCGAGTGGGTGACAGACACTACTGGAATGATCAGACTAATGACTGGGCACCTGGGTGGCTCAGGTGGTTAAGTGACTGCCTTCGGCTCAAGTCATGATCCTGGAGTCCTGGGATCGAGTCCCGCATAGGACTCCCTGCTCAGTGGGGAGTCTGCTTCTCCCTCTGACCCTACCCCCTCTCTCAAATAAATAAATTTGAGAGTGCACTCTCTCTCAAATAAATAAAATCTTTAAAAAAAAAAAAAAGACTAATGACCTATGGCATCATGGACCAAGGTAAGCATCCAGTGTATATCTAAGGAGACTGATGGAGACCCAGCAGCTGGAGACAAGACTTATGGCTCAAACTTTAGAATGAATAGGAGGTGACAAGGCTGGGTGGCTGGGGAACATTCTAGACATAGCCAAATAAAGAAAAAGTGCTATGGGAGCTTTCAGAAAGAGAAATCCTTTCAGGGTGGGACCAGGAGGGAGATATGGTACATCCCGGAGTTCAGAGAGCACAGGCACTGGTCTTCACTGAGCGTAGGATTTTATCAAGTAGACATGGTGAAGAGGAGGTGCTAAGCCAGAAAAGGCAAAGAAGCAGACCAGGATGAGCAATGCTCAGAGAGAAAGGAATAGCAATGATTTAATCAGGGTGTATAGGGAACTCAGTAAAGAGGCTGGAAAGGGAAAGAGAAGATTCAATATGGAAGGCCCCACCTCTCTGAGCTATAAGAGGTTTGGGATTTTTCTAGGCAAATCTAGGTTTGGGATTTTTCTAGGAAAACCAATGAAGGCTTCAGAGCTGGCCTCTCCGTTCATATGACAGGAATCATGTGCTAAGGATATCAGTCTGAACTTGGGATATCAATCTGCCATTTCTGGCAGCAGGACTGGAGAGGAAGATACAGATGCAAGAGATAGTCACAGAAGCAGATCTCACAGAACAAATCTTAAAAGGAGGTTTTTATGTGTTCTGGAGCTGTAAAGAAATTTTACTTTGGGAAAGAAGGACAAAGAAACTCATATATATTGAGAATTATATCTGCTAGACCCTATGCTAAGAGCTTCTTATGAACTGTTTTATTTAATCCCAGGAATTCCTGAAATGGGTATTATTACCCTTTTTATACAAGTGAGAAACTGAGGCTCAGAGAAGTTAAGTAATTTGCCAAAGAGCAAGATAATAATTTATGGAGCCAAAATCTGACTTCAAGATCAGTTTGTTGTACTTCAAGGCAAAAATAACACTTGAAGGTCTTTCTTCTTTCCTAGCACTCAATTCTTACCCTGTTCACCGTTCCTTAGACTCTATCAACATTCAAAATGGATTCTCAGTGCTCTGCAAACCTCTGACTGAATATGGGGAATTTCCAAAGGGTTGCCCAGCCAATGGCAGACATATTTATCTCTGGAAGAAGAGAGATATTACCTCCAATAAGACATACATTTGGAAGAGTAGGGGGAAAGTAATTCATGTCTGAAGTGCCAGGTCATTGCTCCCTGAAATTTCAATGGCAGGGCATTTGCGGGACTTGAAAACCCATGAGTAGATTCAGTATATTAACTTTCATTTTGTTGTCTTTATTTTCCCTGTAGGGATCAAAAGATGAAGAACTCTTGTCAACGCTCGTAACCCTCTAATTACTTAATTATTAACAGTGAAAATCTGATTTTTGAAGTTGTTTAATGGTCATGCAATAAACCAACGTGAAATGATTGTTAATGCCGCAGCTCAGGTCTCCAAAGAGTGATGTCGTAGTTACTGTTATTTCCAAATGGAAATAGAAAAGCCACGACTACAATACTGCCTAGGATTCCCAGTCACCCACTGAACAGGTGAAATGTCTTTCACACTTGGATGGGGTCAAGGAGGAGACTGTTACATAACACGATTTTTCCCCAACCAGTCTTTGTCATTGCAGGTAAAAATAAAGTTGATTACTAGGCAGAGGGAAAAAAAGTGAACCAATTATTAAGCACATTGCATTTTTCTTAAGAGTTGTTTTCTGACTCTTGTTACCACTGCTGGCTGTAATTTCAGCATTAATTACCTAGGGGCATCAAAAGTGTACTGATATTATAATTTGAAACCATTATACCAAGTATCTCCGTTCCAGCTTATCATGCCCGGCAACAAACAGGAAGGTGAAATGCAAAGTAGCCATAAAAAAAGAAGGAAGAACAAAAGAATAATAAACAGACAACTTTTTATTAGTCATGGGAATAATGAGAGTCCGTCCACAAATATACTAAACTAGCCACAATTCTCTGAAGGTCTGTCCACAGGGTGATAGTGTCACTAAGAGAGGGAGGTTCAGCAAATGGGTTCATTTCTAGACAATCACTGGAAGGAAGTATTTCAAGAGGACTTGGCCATACAGAATATTTTAGAGTAGTCCTTACCAAGGAGGGGTAATCCCTAAAATGGGTGGTCCTGGAACAGGAATCTTTTCTTTTTTTACAAAGAAAATGGAAGCCATCAGAAGAAGCTCTTGCAATTTTGACCAAATCTACTAATAAGTAAACAGTGTACATGGCCTCTCCTCCCTTCTGTTAGAACACAGGTTGTAAAATGTAGTAATCCAAAGGGGTACGTGCATCCCAATATTTATAGCAGCAATGTCCACGATAGCCAAACTATGGAAAGAGCCAAGATGTCCATCAACAGATGAATGGATAAAGAAGATGTGGTATATATATACAATGGAATATTATGCAGCCATCAAAAAAAAAAACCCCCAAAATCTTGCCATTTGCAACGATGTGGTTGGAACTAGAGGGTATTATGCTAAGCGAAATAAGTCAATCAGAGAAAGACATGTATCATATGACCTCACTGATATGAGGAAATCTTAATCTCAGGAAACGAACTGAGGGTTGCTGGAGTGGTGCTGGGTGGGAGGGATGGGGTGGCTGGGTGATAGACAATGGGGAGGGTATGTGCTATGGTGAGTGCTGTGAATTGTGCAAGACTGTTGAATCACAGACCTGTACCTCTGAAACAAATGATACATTATATGTTAAAAAAAAGAAGAAGAAGAAGAAGATCGTAGGAAGGGAAAAATGAAGGGGGGGAAATCGGAGGGGGAGACAAACCATGAGAGACTATGGACTCTGAGAAACAAATTGAGGGTTCTAGAGAGGAGAGGGGTGGGGGGAGGGGTTAGCAGGGTGATAGGTATTAAAGAGGGCACATATTAAAAAAAAAAAAGAACATAGGTTGTACCCTCCTCCAGTGGAAAGCCACTCCTACTTGTACTTTGGTCTCTATCTCATCCCACGTTCTGCTTCTCCTGGCTATTACCTCTCTCTTCTCAATGCATTACTCTGTGTTATCCTCTCTCTCCCCTTCCCTCCCTCTATCCTTTTCTTCTCCCCCTACCCCAGACTTGCTCTCTCTTCCTGGACAGCATTTAACATGCTTAAGTCTCTTTCACATTAAAAAAAAAAAAAAGCCATCAATCTTCCGTCCAACCTCTAGTTGACAATGTTTCTTCCTTCTTCCTTTTCTGTCCTAAACAAATTCTGTGCCATCTTCTTATCTCCCTCACTCCTCATGTCCCTTAAATCTGGACCTTTTCTTCATACTCCACTGAAACTACTTTCCAAGATCGTCACTGTCTCCCATGTTGCTAAATCCAGTGGTCATTTTTCAGCTATAATTTTCTGACCTCTCAGCAGCATGTGGCACCAT